GTACCAAATTGTAACTAGTCAGATAGAACGGCCTTTGGCCAAAGTCCTACATAGCCAACGGCTGATACAGGACTATAATGGAATAATAATAAGATTGATACTTTGTTATTCTATCTTACTAGATACGAATTGATTGTTGTTACTATTGGTTACTTTAGTCCACAACTCTTTTCCATCAGAATTACTCGGCAATCGCACGGCTTACTGCTGACCAGCTACCTCGCCCTAACCCGGATCGAGTACTAGAGAGGTATAGCTCAACCCCGTGTAACAAGCCCTCACAGATGTTGAAAACCGTCTACCGCAGAATCTCAGGGTCGTAAGCTGATTCTACGGTAAGTACCTTGCTAATACAGGTTATTCCAATCTTCTAAGGGTATACCTTCCTCGTCAGTCTTGTGGAGCCTCTTTCATGGGGACAGCCGTAGCGCCATGGCCAATTTGTATCTAGTACCTCCGAGAAGGCTTCTTGGCAACCGTAGCCAAGCTACGTACTATCGTTTTATAACCCCTGGTCCTCTACTCAATGGCGATGCGGATCTAGGCGCCTGAAACTCGTAGATGGATACAATTCCCATTGGACAATATCATTGCTATGTGGAGAAAGACGCGTAGACGACGCGCAATAGGTGATCAAAGCATGCAAGCGTTAAGCCTCTTTCAATAGTGCGAAAGATAAGTACTGGGCAACTGCTTTACTATGCAGATTATTTCCATATTCATACTCGAACAATTTAGTACTAAAGCTTGAATTTTAGAGATGGGTTCTCACGTGACTCATTTCAGACAACTTATATGAGTTGACGAGTAGGCTGAAGTAAACCACGAGATCTTCTCATCACTATCTTGTTACTTGGTTAAGATTGACCTCTCTTTCAGCCATGTTCTCCATGCTCTTTGTAATACTGACTCTGGCACTACCAGTGCCCGCCATATCATCCTGCAACAGCACATGCACACCCGAGACAATTCAGACACGTGTTGAGTGGGCGAATATGGCAGACACTGATAAACACTCCTACCTAAAGGCAGTGAATTGTCTTATGAAGCTACCTGCTCAGACAGGTATAAATGGTACGGTCACAAGGTTTGACGATATGCATGCAATGCATCAGGTGCAGACGAAAGAAATCCATATTGTAGTGAGTATTCCCTAACTATGTTGCTACGATAAGAGGACATGCTTTGTTGACTAAGCTCTGCATAAATAAAGGCGCAGTTTCTGCCATTCCACCGACTCTATGTATTTGTGTATGAGCAGCTCTTGCGAGAGGAGTGCGGCTATAAGGGGCCAACACCGTTAGTCCTACCATTACAACTCTATCTTTCTATTCCTCCCACTAACAATATAGTTGGTGGGATGAAACCCGAGACGCAGGCAATTTCATGGACTCGCCGCTCCTTGATCCTGATACAGGATTTGGTGGGAACGGGACTGGTCCAGATGGATGTGTTACTGATGGTCCTTTCGCAAATACCACTCTTCACATTGGTCCGGGCCAAACTCTGACTGAACATTGCTTATCCCGCTCAGTTGAGGAGACGAATAGCACCCTCGCCAACGAAACCTATGTTGAGCACTGCCACAATTTAAACACCTACCTCGATTTTTGGGAGGAGACCGGTTTGACAACCCACGGTGCTGGTCATAGTGGAGTAAGTACACTAGGAGAGGGCATGCGAAACATCACATTAACTGGCGTTATAGATTGGCGGAGTCATGCAGGATATCGATGCAAGCCCCGGAGGTAAGTTCATGTTTTCGTTCCCTAGTTGCCCTCTCGCCTCGATCACAAGCTGACCAGCTTAGACCCGCTCTTTTATCTCCATCACGCTTTCGTAGATCGTCTTTGGTGGAACTGGCAGTCCGCAGACCCTGACAATCGCGTATATCAACTGGGCGGCCCTTCCTCGCAGGGGCCGTGCGAAGGAGGATGCCAAGAGACGACTCTGGACTACGTAATGACCACCTATGAAATTCGCCCGAACGTTACTGTAGGAGATGTCATGGACATTCAGGGCGGATATCTCTGCTACAAATATGACTACTAGGAGAGAAGATAGGGGATGGAACACTCTAATCTAGGGTTGTGTTGGTGTTTGTACATTGGCTAAACTAGTTGCGATGCTGAGCGCTCCGTATCCCTTAGACACAGCTAGTAGTAAGAATATAATGCTAGTTCAGCCAGCAGTGCGCGACACTACTTCCCCTGTCTTCTTGTGTGACGCTCCTCACATTAATCGCGCTCCATCAGAACATATTAGAGTTAGGCACTAGAGTTACTCAAGGCTTGACTAGCTAAACAGGCCCGAGCGAATCATACAGGGCGAATCATCTGGTACTCGTCAGTCTCCACCACGTAGTTTGCTGTCTGCTATTACCAGTATGCGACGGCAGACACTTAAAACACCTCCTAAGAAATATTGCACTTCCACTGCCTATATGGCGCGCACAGCTTAGAGAGAAAAAAAGATAGTATACACAATTTAGCTTGCTCCCAGTCCTTACTCAAGTACTTCGTTACAATGTAGATAGCCCAAAGTGTGCCTTATATATATATCTAATTATATACGATTAGTTATATAACTATAGCGTAGTTGAAGAATTGCGGTGTAGTCTGTCTCTTTAGATCCTCTAAGCTAATTACTTGCAAGCAGCTTGCCTTAGATCGTAATACGAGCATAGTGTTAAGGTATTATTGTTTTTTAGTAGAGCGACAGCATCAGCGTCTTTAGGCAGTGCAAACAGCAGCAGCAGTTAAAGTCGTGTTGTAATAGCGAGACTGAGCATCCGGCAGTAGAGGCATTTATTTTCTTTCGCTTCCTTAGCCTTATGCATGGGCTTAACTAAAGCCTCAATTCTGACACACATCCTTAGCTTTAAACCCCTTCAGAGCTGGCGTATTGTCTTCGTCCGCTTTAATATCTACTTCAATACAGTTTTCCATTTCATTCACCTGAGTTGTCCTGGGTGATACCTAGCATCTCTCAACAAGTCCTAATTGGTTAAAAAAAGTTCTCCCATTCATTCGCCGGCAGGGCCTTCGTTAGTCCATCGGCGAGCATATGATCTATTGGAACATGCTTCAATATAATCTTGCCGCGGGAGACTTCTTGTCAGAGCCAGTGGTTGTGAATGTCTACATACCAGAGTCTAGTATGTGGTTTTGCTTCATCCTCTGTAACTAGTCGTATTGTTTATTTATTGTCGTAGTTGATTGTTATGATCGATTTTGGTAAGGAAACATGTAGCTCCTTTAGCAGCCGAGTGAGAAACATGGCTTCCTTAGCTGTTTGCGACAGCGATAGCAGTTCTGCTTCTATTGTTGACGTGGTAACCGTATCCTGCTTGCTTACTCGCCGCGCGACCAGTCCTCCGAAGAGCTTAATCACGTACCCTTGTAAACTTTTTCGATCTGCGGTATTGTCCGCGAAGAACGCGAAGGACGCGTCGCTAGCAACCTCTAGCCCCTCTCCGTGTCCTAGTTAAAGTGCTCTTGTCTTAGTGACGTTCAGGTAGCGAATTACTCGATCTACCGCCTTTTAATGCTCGGTACTAAGGTTAACAAGAAATCGAGCCAATCGTGATGTTGCAAATGCCACGTCTAGTCTTGTTGTTACTGCCGTAAAAAGTAGCGATCTAATCTTCCGTTGATATCGGTTAATCGCTGTAGGGGTCGCTAGGTTGGGGCTTGGTACTAGCTCTAGATTGGCCATTGGATTGTTCGGCCAGATGGCTGACTTTTTCGATGTACGCCGTCTGGGAAAGCTGAACGACTCTTTTCCTTCGATCTCGCACGATCTCAAACCCTAGGAACCATTGTAGGTCGTCGCTGCCCGTTAGGGTGTATTCCCTCTCAGTGACTCCACGATTTTAGATGCAGTTGTGGTTTTGTCTTTCGGGTATGCGAGCATGATGTCGTCAACGTAAAAGAAGATAACAACACTGTCCTTAATTATGCAACATAGCTTATGCGGGGCTGGGCTAAAGCCGAGGTGTGTGAGCGTTGTCGTGAACTCTTTCTGCTATAGTAGTGGAGAGATCTGCAATCCGTAGAGGGCCTTCTTAACCTTGAGTATAGTACCTGGCTTTTAGTAACCTTTTTGGCGTTCTTATATAGATTTCCTAGTCTATGGTGGCATATACAAATACATTTATAACGTCGTACTATTTTAGCTCTAGATTATTCTTAGGTGCGATTGCCGCTAGAGTCCGAAATGAGCGGCTTGCTAATGTTGCTGCATAGGTATCTTGTGAGGTAATGTTTTCCTATTGGTTCCCTCGAACTGCTAAGAGTGCCTTACATTTAAGCAAATAGTAATTTTGATCTAGTTTATAGATATATACCCACATACAGTCTAGGATATAGTGTCCTGCTCATTTAACTAGTAACGAGGTACCTTCTAACTATAACTACATTCGCTTGTGGCTCTTGAGGTGGTCCCGCTCTGCTTCCTTAAACATTTCGTAGATAGAGTGAGTTTTTAGATCTAAGTACGCTGTTGGTGGGGGAGGTAGTTAGCTTCAATATGGCCGTGTCCCTTTCAATAGCATTCTTGTTAATTAGGCTTTGTCGATCTCTTTTCCTTTATGATGTCCAATTATGCCAGCTTGAGTGCCCGTTATGAACGCCGCTGCCCATAGGATAATCTTTGACGTGCCCTAATCCCTTGGCTCGTGGTCTTGGATAGTTTGAGTAAGGAAAGCTACTGGAGGAGGAGTGTCCGGAGGAGTTGGGTACGCTCTCTATGTTTCTTTTCCTTTGTAGCTTCGCTTTAATCGGCGTAGTGCTGGTGTGTCTTCTATCGTGTCGTCTTCGAAGAATGTCTCGGTCTTAGGTTGGTCTGTCTTAGCTGCTCGGAGCTTGACCGTCCTTACCCATATGGCGATTTCTTCTAGGGTGCCGTGTATTAGATTTTCCATTAGGTTCTTAGTCTTGCCGTTAAACACTATCTCCTTATTAAACACCACATCCCGTATACTTATAGCCTTTCCTACTAATAGGATCTAGACTCAATAGACGTTAGTTAACTAGTAGCCTACTAAGTATCCAATCCATGCTTTTAGGTTCAGTCTCTGAAGTCTTAACTTTCTACGATATATATCATTGGTTATTACGAACGCCTTATATCCGTATGCCTTAAGTTATGTTTAATTTGGTTTTCGAGGTCTAGTCACAATTCTGTTTAGTGCCGCTACGCGCGTAAAGAATCTTTCGTATAGAGTAGTCTAGCGATTTGAGTAGTTAGGCGTTCGATTATATAGATATACCGTGGCTCGCGTGATCTTTAGCTACAATTCCTATCGTAAGTTTACGTCTAATCCTATTTCGTATACCTTCTCTTTTATTACACCCCTTAAGCGTTCGGCTCCTCCGTTTTGAGTTTGCGTGTCTAGAGCGGAAGGCTCGACTTTGGCACCTAGGGATTTACACCACATACTTACCTTAGACTTTCGAGTAATAATATTATTGTCTAATTTAATAACTTTAACTACAACGTTGAATTGTTTGTAAAGGAATTTGAAGAAATTATTAAGTAGTTAAATGATCGAACGCGCTAATCAATTGTCCTTAAAGTAAAAGTCCCAGGTATAGCGTAAGTAGCAGTCGACTATCAGTAGCTGGCTCTTTTCCTTTGTAGAGCTGCCTTCTTCATAACTATGGAAGTCTAAAGCTATGCGTTCTCCTGATCCTTCCTCACTAATGCGTGGCGTGCGTCGAATTTGGCTTATGGATTTGGATTTGCCGCATGCGTCACATTCGACCGTCGTAACACCCTTGATTTGTACCCCCTCGGAGTGGTGCACTAGATTTTCGATCGCTGCTGGCCCTGGATGTCCTAGGCGTTTGTGCCATACAAGGGCCGTGGTCTTCTGAGCAGGCCTCCTTGTCTTTCGATCACCCATTGGTGGCAGACTTCGTCTAAGATTGCTGTGACTGAGTTGTCGCGCTTGAAAAGCATCGTTGGCTCTGCTTTGTTGTCCCACCAGGATCCTTGCTGTCGAAGTAGTCTGAATGATACTAAGTTGCAATGGATATCCTGACATAGTGCGGCGTTGTGTAGCCTGATGATGCGCTCTCCGGTTATGTCTCGTGCTCTAATTCGTACGGTTCCTTATCCCTGAATCCGCATTTGAGCATTTCCTGCCCATACACAGTCTTCGGGGAGTGGTAGACGGAGGTCTTCGAGTCGCTCGCGTTAGTTGCAGATGTGGATCGTAGTGCCGGAATCGAGAATGAATGAGTTTCGGAGCGGATAGTGTTAGCTGTCGACTTTAAATGACGCCAATCCCTATTTTCCTTCGATCTTCGCAATTATCCTCCCTTATATTTAGTCAACTTGAGCATCTGGTGTTTGTGACGCCTTCATCTAAGGCGTACTTGCCGATCTAGATAAGCTTGTGAGGCGTGCTGCCCTCCTGGTTAGGACAAGGCTGTTTATTACTCTCTATAGCTCGTTGTTAAATTTTATTATATGCTTGACTAACCTAGCAATCTTCCGATTCGGTTTGAACCACTTGGGTGCTTTCTTAGGAAATGCGTAGTAATAGTCTGATAGATTATGGCGCTGTCCACAAGCAGGATAATCATCTCCCACTGCCATGGTATTTCTCTTTAGGAATTGCTTGGATTTGGTCTCTTGACTATTACTTTTTCTTTTCTTCCTAGGTTTTCTTAGGTTGCCTTGTGAGTAGGCGGGTGGTGCTCTTTGAGATATATCTAAGGCGTCTCTGAGTGTATTCTGGTCGGATTCACCGCTAGCGAGAAACGATGCCTCTTCTATAACGAAAGCGCTCTTCTGCTTACTCTTAGTCGGGTTGGATTAGCTTATATGTTCTCGGAAGAGTTTCATCGCCTTCTTTCTATCCATTGCTGCCTTGTTACATCCTGGCCCAGAAAAGGTGGCCACCCAGTTTGGGACCACTTTTTTGACGGCGTCTAGGAAGTCTCGTATCATATCCTTAGTGTTTCATACCTCGCTCACTTCTAGGGCTTCCGCCCGAGTGGCTGATTGGTCGTATTCCATCAACCAAGGTTCCCAGTTGTTAGGGTTCTCATGGGTCTGAGAGCTCCGAGATATCTTTCTTATACTCGTATTCTTTCTTCTTCAGGATCCACTCCGACAGTCTCTTAGAGTAACTTAATCCATTCTCGCACGCTATTTCCCGTGTAGCAGCAACTAAGTTGCAGGTGGGACGACACGGTCCCTAAGATATAAACAAGCAACTTTTCATATTTTGCATGTTCCTCGTTGTATTCTTTTTTAAGGAATCTATACGTTTCTATGCGCATCTTATAGTCTTTACGATAGTCTTAATATTCTTCTTGTCTAGTGGTCGTCAGATTGGAGACTCGCGTAGGTATGTCTACAACAACAGGTTCTTCGCGTTGTGATAGTTGCGTGTTACCGCGGGTTCGGGAGCTCGACGCGGTGGTTGTACTCAACGGTAGAGTCGCGATCGATTCGTAATTTGATAGCACCAGAGGGAGCTGAAGCCTTGATTTTGGTTGTGGTTCTTGCGAGCCCTCTAGATCTGCAAGTGCCCAAATATTCAGTGATTCACATCTGATTTTAAGTTGACGATACCACGCTGTCCAGTTGTTACTCTCGGTCAGAATGAATGTCGCATCTCGCGTAGCATAGTTAGACATGTTGCGTAATTGGGGTTTTCGATATTAGTGAGACTCTTGATCATTAGATTGAATAGATCTTTAATCATAGGGTTAAAAATAGGTCTTTATAATTACTATTTCTTAAGGCATCATCTTTTTTTAAAAAAAACTTTGGTTACTTTAAGGTGATACAATCCACTTAAACGGGTATAGTGCCTTGGCACCACCTGTCATGTGTAGCTACCTGCAAAAGGTGACTTGCCACACGTCATCACAAATCCCAAATTGTCCTATTTCGCGAGAGAAGCGCAGCCACCTCGACAACATTCTTTGATCAGGATCTGTGATTTTGGTGTGAACAATGGCTTCTTCTAATGAACCTGCAGCCGCCTCCAGTCCGACGAGCTTGCCGACCACTACCGAACTGTCAGAGGCACTCAAGATCGAGGTGTATGATCGCGAAGGGAAAACTCACGTCCTGGATGACCTGGTCAAAGGGAAACGAAGTGTTTTGATATTCACCAGGCATTTTTGTAAGTCCATTTGCGTATGCGTAATGTTGTAAAAGCAACTTCTGGATCGCGCCACGGCCCCACTGGACCCGGTTCCTAAGCTTATGGCTTCGCGCTACTGCGAACAGCAGCGCGCGAATCATTATGATTCTGCAAGGTACATAAACACTAACACGAGTTCTAAAAGGGTGTCTGAACTGCCAGGCCTATCTCCGATGCATCAGCGAATCAATACCCCCGTCTAACCTTCCTCCTTCTACTCAAAGTACGTCTTACATCCCTAATGTAGAACTAAACTAAAAGATCGGACAAGTCCTGGCAATCGGTTGCGGTTCTTACCAACCCATCGATACATATGCAGCGAAATCAGCATCTGCTTACCCCATCTACACGGATCCTTCGCTCCGTCTGCACAACATCTTTGGCTTCAAGTACAACCTAGCTGAGGCCAAAGCCGGCGATGCGCCGAAAGACTACATGCGCAATGCAGGAAGCACTACATCCAGGATCTGGGGCGGCATCAAGGGTGCAGTGGCTAGTATTCAACATGTGAACCAAGTCGGACCCAAGGCGTTGAATGGTGGCGAAGTAATCATTTCCGCAGGTAAGTCTACCGTCCTCCAAAACAATGGAAACCTAAAGAAACTCATACATGGGATGTGCAGATGGTAAATGCGAGTACATGTATCGCATGCAAAACACTGTGGATCATACGAATATCTCGGAGTTGGCACGCCTAATTGGGGTCGAGGCTAAGGCCTCGGATCACAGTGAGGAAGCGAAGCAGCCGTGTGGCGATGCATGCGCGGTTGACGCTAAGTAGATGCATGTGTTGATACTCTGGGGTAATGAGATTGTGTGTGCGACAGGTGTAAGGAGCTACCACATTAGGCGATATTCGGCGCATGTAGCGTTATTGCAAATACTTGATATGTCTTTTGGACTTACAAGACTGGATCTACACGTGATTTCTATCTGTCTAAGTTCATATTTCTAACCTATCACTCAAAGAGAGCCATTCTTAGCATGCCCCTTGACTGCTTGTCACTCTACCAAAAGATTCCTCCTCAACGCATCCAACTCCTGACCACTTAACCCACACTTCTCTCTCAAATACCGCTCCGCACCCCCAAACTCCTCATCCAGCATCTCCAAACTCTTCAACATACTCTCCCTTCTTGCCCCAATCATTCGTAGCGCCGCCTGCCTTCCCTTCTCAAGCACCTCGGGCGATACCTGAACCCGATCCTGTCCCTCCTCGCCCTTTAAACTCCTCGCAATATCCTCAACCGAAAGTTTCGTCCCATCCATACTCGCCAGCATATACTTCTTAAACCCCGGACTCTGCATCAACCTTGCCACAACCTCTTCTCGAATATGCGCAAGCCCCAACTCAGTAAGTTGGTACTCATCTGCAATCTGCTCACGCGGCACACGCAGAAACTCAAACAGCAGTCCGAAAAAAATACCCGTCCGATCTTTCCCCGCCGTACAATGCACCAGTGCCCCAACCTTATCATCATCTTCTGCAGCAGCAGAAGAAGAAGAAGAAGAAGGCGGTGAGATAGCCGCAAGATACCTCAATATCGTGCCAAACGCGGGTCCCCCGTTTGCCAAAATATCGCGATACGCCTCCACGAACCCGGTAACGGCCTCATGCATATACTTTGAATACCGCTCCGCCAGGCGCTCGGGCGAATAATCACTCTCTTCAAACACTGGCACCCACGAGCGCGCTACGCCCGCTTGCTCCATGGCTTGCAGCCAACCGGGGCGCACGTCGTCGTCGCCCGAGGCATCTTTGCCGACGATGCCTGCCCAGCCCTTGTCGACTTCGGGTTTGGAGCGAAGATCGAAGACGTGCGATATGCCGAGGGAATGTACGGCCGTCCAGCCTGCCACGTCGAGTTTGGAGACTTCGGCGCTGCGGAAGAGGATGTGTGGGCGGATGCGGGAGCCTGAGGTAGTGGTGAGGGAGAGGGATGCGTCGCGGAGGTTGTTGATGTTGGGGATGGTGTAGAAAGGTGGGTTGGGGAGCAGTTGACTGGGTTCTGTGGACATGGTTGGTGACATGGTGGTGGTAGTTGTCACGTGTGTGTCTGTGTAGTCCTGAGTGAAGGGTAGGTGCAAAGGTGCTACTGATCCAGCATCGAACCGAGCAACAGCTTTTATTCGAGAGTGAGAACGTCTCTCAGCATAAGGAATGGGTACCAGTGTACTATAGAGGTATATAAACTAGTAGCACTTTTGTAGTCCCAGACATAGTGCGCGTCTAGCGTCCGTCGTTCTCGCCCGAGGTCGGTTTGGTAGCCCCACCATGATATCAGAACAAGCCGAGGATGACAGAACAACTTCACTTCATATTTAGCACAACCAACGCAAATCCGTCACAAATCCGTATCGAAATTCTTCTATATACGAGTATGAGCAAGGCTGGTCATTGCTCGAGAAAAAGCGATGGTAGAGGCAATATTCTACACTCGTCTTCTAGTAGGGTATACATATCCAGCGACATCTGCAAAGCCATGCAATCCGAAGATAATAGAAACATGAACTCCTCTCCCTACATTACACGCCAAAAACGCCATAAGATTTGTCAAAAGAATAATGACTAGAGCTTAGGAAGGTTTGTCGCAGCCAATGCGACCCAATAGCTCCTTGCGATCACCATGTCCTGGAATGCTGATGCCACTTGATCGTGCGCTCTCCCTCCTGGCCTGTCGTCGCTGACTGGCACCATTCATGCGAGCAAATGTCAGAGCGTCAACGCCGACTTCCTCCTCCTTTGGTTGCAGGGAGCTCATGCCCGACTCGGCGCACGTGGTTGCCAAATTGAAAATGGTGTTGGTCTGATCCTCCTCAATCTCCTCGCCTTCACCCTCGTCATCTGAACGCAAATCTTCGGCAGCATGTCCCCTGACTACAGTGTAAACGACTCTGGAAATGGTGGCAAACCAGATGCAGCAAAACACTTGCAGGGTCAGGAGGAGAGCCAGGAAGTAGTATCGAATCTGTGGGTTCCAGCAAATAGGTCCGTTACGGTCATTGTATGCTTTGAGAAGGTTTCCCCAGTGGTTGTTGCCTCCAAGAGCTTCAAATTGGGAAGTGTTCGATATGGGAACAAACGACGTTTGTTTTGACGTGGAGTCAGCGAGGTAGCAGCCGGGTTCCATGTCGAGGGGTGCGTAAGTGTAGATGGACCAGCAGACCATCATGTAAAGGACGTGGCGGGTGACTATCCAGGAGATAACAAAGAGACCGAAAACATAATCACATGCATTTGTGTAGCCCATGTACTTGAGAAGCTTGGCAGTCTGCAATGATTAGTCCCGAAATCGCTTGCTCGAGGAGGGTCAACTTACTGGCAATACAATGTCGACAAAGTCCATGATTGTGAGAATTACGATACCGACACGCATGTGGAAGTATCCATACGACAGAGCCATGAGGGCGGTCGTGAACAGATGGTGGGACAACATCTGCGCATAATCCTTGCGCTTTTCCTCGATGTTGACGACAAGAATCTGCTGGATCCAGAAGCCCCATTGGACGAGGTAGTACCATTTGAAGAGGCTGTCAGCCTCTCGGAAAGGCCAACCTTCCCAGATGCCGTGAAGGTTGAGCCAGAACTCGGAGTGATACATGATGTACTGTTGTCTCGTTAGCATCCCTGATTCGCTATGCTCCTGCCCAAGAATAAACATACTATTCCGAGTGACCAGGAGCAGGTATAGTAGACAATTAGCCACGCTTGTTCCTTGAATCGATTGAGTCCCTTTTTTGTCCTAATGCCCCCGAGCCTAGCCAGTGGATCCAACAGATACTCCATAACAGCTACTCTGAGTCCGGTGAAAATAATGGTCCACAGGAAGACAAAGGGGAGATCGTCGGTTCCACAGCCATACATGCCAGTTTCGGAGTTATAGTAGGACATGTGGAAAAACTTGTTGGTCCGGCTTCGGGCGCGGGGAAAGAAAACGTGTGTCAAGGTGAGGAGAGTGAGGAGGTTGACGGATATGCCTGGTCCAAGTCAGCTCTGAAAGGGGCCACAGGAGTGTTGAGATGCTGGGGGAGAGACATACCAATTTGATGGTCAGAGATGAGTGTGCATAGCGAGGCGAGGAGACCCTCATCGTCGACCTTTTTTGGCTGCATCTTTCGCTTCTTGGGCGCCATGGGTGCTTTCTCGGCTGGGACATTTGCTGTGTGTGACTTTTGTGGCGCACCGCTGGCAGGTGGCATGGTGGCTTTGGCCGCCATGCTAGGCTCCCTTTTGGGGGGCGGTGTCTCTAAACGTGGGAAAGAGTCGGGGCGATGAGGGAAAAGGGTCTGGTCAGGATTTATGATGGCGGATGGCGGATTAATGGCGTGTGGTGGGTGTGGAAGTAGATGGTCTGGCGGAAGCGGTTGGGGTGCCGTCCCAGGTTCCTTGTTGCAGGACAGCGAATGTGCTGTACCAGAAGCAACGGGTGTGGGGACGGGGACGGGGACGGGGACGGGGACGGGGACAGGGTCTGAGGAATTGATTGCTGGGTGGTGAGGGTGGTGAGGATAGTGGGCGGTGTATCTCAGCAAGCAGCAGCCATTGGGAAGCGCAATGGCACAGAGACGGACGGTAGAGGCAGAGAGGAGTGTCTGCGGGGGGACAGAGTCGCAGACCAGAAACAATTGACGGGGGGGAGCGGTGTGGTGCGCCCAAGCAAAGATATTCAGGGTTTAGACGTGAAAGCGGGCAAGCGCCAATCAACAGTCAATCTCCCCGACAAGCTGTGCAGTGTGCGCGCGGGCGGCCAAGGAGTCCGAGACGGACGCTCCACTTTGTATTGTAGAGATATGCAGCCAGCGACCAATTGCCCCTGGAGGATTGGATTGTGGGCTGTGGACAGGTGTCGCGGGAGCTAACAGTGCTCTGCTAGCTGCGTTCTCGAGCCCGCCCTGCCCGCTACCACTCGTGACTTTCGCGTAACTTTGGGCCTCGCCTAACTCTGGTGCCGGGGCGCCAGGAGTCGGCAAAGTAACCAAGTAAGTAGTAAGTAGGTAACACACATGCATGCAAGCAATAAACGAGTACAGACATGCGAATCTATCGAGATATGGCAAATGTGTATGTATCGAGGCAGGCACTTGAGCGCAGTCCACCTCCCGCGCTGTGGCTGGGCCAAGGGGAGGCGAGTGGCCCGGCGCACCATCTCGTCCTGGACGTGGCGTGGGAGCGGAGGCCCCTGCGGCAATGGGAAATCATGGGCGTCGCTTTGTGGTGGACGGAGTGCCAGCGAATGTGGATGCGCCAAGTCGTCGACCTGCAAAAGCTTCATCGGCGGAAAACCCCTGGGTTCCCGTTGCGCCTCTGCCGGCCAATCACAAGCCCACGCATCCAGACTGCCCCGTCGACAACTACCCCGCCATGGTCTGATGTATCCTCACATAGAACCATGTCGTATGCAAATGGCACACTATTGACCGCGCCGAGGGCCATGTCGACGACCACCCCAATCGAGTCATTGCCATTGCCCCACGGCACACCATAGTACACAAAGTGCCGCCGGTAGAGTAGCCGTTCACCACAAATGTCTACATGCTTGCATATACCACCCATTGGAACCAGATCACTGTGCCTAATCACTGTATCAATATTCCACCAGCTACGTGTATACACTGTGCCTAGAACATGCAAACAACCCCGCAATCTGAACAACAAAGACAATTTCCATGGCGCCCCAAGCGCCCCTTCCAACATGATATCCCCATATCCATCATGTACCCCTCATCATTCTACGCCTAATCTAGTTCTGGTTCTGCGAGTTGAGAATCCTCAGGATCGCGAGGAAGAGGTTGATAATGTCCAGGTAGAGCGAGATAGCCGCTGCGATTTCCTCCTCAACATGGTAGTGGCGCATAATTAATTGCGTGTCGACCAGGATGTACCCCGAAAAGATTAGCGCGCAGATGATGCCATAGCCCAGGTCCACAGTCGAGTTGTACGGGAAAAAGGCCGACATGAAGCCAAAGAGCACCACCACCCACAGTGCTCCAAACAGATACGGCACCCAACTTGTGAAGTCGTACTTGGACTGGCACGCAAATAGGCTTAGCGCGACAAAGATGCCCAGCGTAAAGAACACGGCCTGCAGCACAATCTTGGACTCGGTAAACGACACAATGACCGAGATCATGTATGCCTCCATGGCAGTAAAACCGGCGAGGAACATCAGGTTCGTGGGGTATGATTTGCGTTTCCAATAGGTAAGTCCGAGGAAGGCAAAGGAGCCAAACATCGACACCCACAACGGCCACGAGTGTGTTTGAATCCAGTTTCGGTATGTCACCGATGTCATGGAAACGAAGCTTACGGCGGCCGTGGCGAGGAGTTGGACAGTCCTGTACGCTGTTAGTATATGCGACAAATGGGTTTTGGGAGCCTAAAGGAGAGCTTACAATATGGCGTACACCTTTCGGATAAATGCCATTCGAATGTCCAGCGTCGCCTCTGCCACTACTCCACCAAACTTGAAGTCGTCTGGCAGGTTATCATCTTCGCTACGCGGCACTCCACGCAGAAGCGCTTCCTGGGGTTCCGTGGCCTGGTAGCTGGGTGGCGCCTGCGAGTATGAGGGCGCTGGCGCAGTCTCGTCGAGCGAGTCGCGCTGGGGCACGTTCTGGTATTTGGGTCCGGCCATGGTGATTTTACTTGTCGCCGCTCGAGATGGATTTGCGATGCAGAAGCGCAAGGTCGACGTGTAGGTTGAGACGGTAGGTTTGAGGGATGGGGTGAGACGCGGTAGCGCGGGCTATGCTGCCTTGATGAGGTCACACAGACGCGCAGCTCTGCTTCACGTGCCACCAGTTCCCGAAACTGCCTCGACGTTCCATCTTCTTCCACCCCTCACCTATTGTCAAATCCCCAAGCCAGAGCACCTCAAACCACCTCAGGTCTACAGTAACATTGTGATTTGGACATGCCCGACTATGTACTATGTCGCCCAATGCCAAGATCTCTGCAAAGGCCATGTCACCTGGGACTTTATGCTTAGGCTTGGCTGTTCCATGCTTGCTCGATTACCAAGTCTCTTTTACTGCCCCGCTGACAGCGTGCATCAGAACCACAAGTATACCACAAGTATCCATTCTGAAATCAACAAGGTAATATGTCGGAAGAGGCTAGTGACACTCTTTGAATCGGCGCACCGGATCCCAAAAAAGTCTTGGACTGAAGTATTGATGCAGCCAACCCTACAAGGCTGAAATATGTATACCTGCAAAACATGCCGAATCGGAGATTCTGCTAACCGTCTTGAGTATGATGTCGGCAACTGATGGAAACTACTGCTAGTACTTGTCCCCCACGATTGGACTCCCGACTGACCAAAATGCCTCATGTCCACATCACCGGTAATGACGTCAACCTGTGATCTGGCCTAACCTGAGACGGTACCCCATTGCCACATCTACTACTACGTACGGTCACTATCCAGACCCACATGAGCGTCGATAAAACTTGAAAACATCTATACGTGGTTCACGAGGATCAAGTGGACTGGGGAGAAGATGAGCATCTGACTGCTCTTTTCTCCATTGTGCAGCGACCCTTTTCCAGCTTCCCCACACACACACACACACACACCTAACAATGCCATGATGCTGGTGATGCTGATGGAAGGGAGCCATTAGCGCGAATCGGTGTCGTCACTCAGTGTCTCGTTTTGGGGAGGTGAGTCCCAGAAGAGGTTACGTCCTACACAGTTTGTGTGAATGCTGAGAAAGGTAATGAATAAACCAACCGCAAAAACCCTTGATACGCAAGCCCTCATCTTCCAAGTTCCGCAGAACTGCTCAAGCAAGCCCGACTACCAACTCTCTGCCTTAGGCTACACATTTGTACTTATAATTCACACCCCTATCCCTTTCACCCTCAACCCCCACAATACCCTGCATACCCTCCATCCCGCACAGACAAAGCAAAAATCACCCCACGCTCACAAAGTAACCGCCACCCCCAGCACGTCCCTGCCTTTCATTCCTTACAAAACCTCCGTATTCACTCCAACCCACTCCCCACAGGCAGGCGAGAAAAAAAAAGGGCGATTGCGTACCCCCTTCAATCGGCCCTACACCCATGTCCCGCGTCCCCCTTGTTCCTCCGACTTGTTGGACGACTCGCACTCGCACTTCAAACCCCCCCATCAAGGAACCAGAATAATTTTTTTTCCCTTCTTCTCCATATTCTTTCATCATGCTCGTGTTTTGTGCGTCATAAAGCCAAGGTCGCACCGCATGACTTGCATATGAATATCACACCCCCTTGTCCAACCCAATCACATTAGAAGTGCGTGTGTGTGTGTGTGTGTGTGTGTGGATATGCGTACAACATGTGCCTTCGCAGAAACCCCCCTCCCTCCCTCCCTCAAAAGAAAAGCAATCAACATATCTCGTATCCGAACACAAAATTGACGTCAGACTCTCTTTCCCGGATTCGACTTCTTTCGCCTACCACTTTTGTTCTCTGTTTTGTTGAATGCAGGATGTGGCGGGTGGAGTGGAGTACACATACACGGTGATGCACGCAATGCACATATATGCATGTGTGGATTGGTTCAATAAGAGACAAAATTAGAGAGTTAAGGAAACCAAGAGAATATTTTGTTTGAGTTACGTTGCCGACATATGCTCGAACGATTAGTTGCTAAATTAAGAAAGAAAGAAGAAAGGGGAAAAAATTGGTTGGGGAAAAACGCTTCCAAAGGTGGATATGTTGGAAAACCCGCTTTTGGTTTGTGTGCTCCATTACACGTATGTACTGATACCCCCCTGTCGTATATGCCATACCACTATACATATCATGACAGCAACACACCCTCTAATTAGGAAATAAAAAACTCTCAACATATTTATGTGGTATGCATGTAGTCAGCACAAGAGCATATTGCAACTTCCACGACAACAACCAAACGTCTGACCAGGCTGACGAGCAATCAAACTTTTATTTCATTGCTTCATGCTTGCTTGCTTAATTGATTGATCCATTACCCCTTTTCCGGGGTTTCCCAGGCAATATGAACTTTTTGGCCCTGCCACGTTGTAATCATATCCTAGATATCCATGTCATAACGCCAAAATACCTCCACCCAAGTCCCAGAAATTATGTATTGTTCGTACATGTGTCGTGTGCATCCTTTTAGCTTTAGAAATACTCAGAATAAAATGAAAGATGAATGAAAACAAGATAGCCGAGGCTATTCTTGAACTCGCTGGGCCTATGTGTTTTGTTTCCTGGCCGAGGAAAAAAGTTTAAAAAAATTACCAAGTTGTAGCCGCCAAAAGGTTGTTCAAGTAATACAAAGCTTGAATGATTATGATGGACCAGACCCGCTGGGTTTCAAGACAGCAGCAGGTGGTTGTTGAGGTGCTTCCGGCGATGACTCCGATGATGACTTCGGCGGTGTCTCCGGCGATGTTGCCGTTGCCTCGTTTGGTGTGCCTTCCCTTGATTTGCCTTCGCTGGGTATGGCTAGGATATTCTCATGTTGACTAACAGCCGTCTTCTCAGTGCATGTGCTTCCTGATCGCTTCTCGATGCCAGCTTCGACATCGACAAAAGTTTCGGAGGATTCGCTTGCGAATAGCTTCTTGCTCGGGTTCTCGGCGATGTATTCGTCATACGTCTTTCCAGCCTTCTTGGCTTCGGCGCGTACATGGCGAACACGCCAGAGCCAGATGGCTTGCGAAACAAAGATACCGGTTTCAAGTAGCATACTAAATAAGGTTAGTGAATGAACTCGATGACTGTGACATAAGAGAAACAAAAGATATACCAAGAGATGTAGAGACTGCCACCGAGGGCATCGAACCATTGTTGTGCAACTATTTCCTTTGTTAGCCATGTGGCTTTGGAGAAAGTGGGGTGAACATACCAAGAGCCATGAGCGAGAAGAAGGCACCAGCGTAATCGATAGTGAGAAACCAAAAGTCTAGGAACGTCAGCCACAATATCTCCCTCGGGGTAAGCCAGCCGCTTCCGTACCGATTCCAATGACCCGTCCATTGCGCTTTGCAAGTTCGAAGAAAGGGGGGATCAGGCCGGCGACTTGGATGATGGTTGCTAAGATGGCCATGAGCATCATGGGCCATTCGACGCCTCGGCTATAGGGACCCTGAAAGGATTTGGTCAGTTGGGAGCAGCAAGAAACGGCTTGCGGTTACTTACACGCAGAGTGAGGATAAGAATCAGCTCCATAAGCCCAAAGCTGGCGGCTAGGGCAATGGTCGCCAGGGTGGCTGTCCATACTCGCCATTTGCTATCGCGTATTAGTCGTTGTTGGTTATTCCGGGGGGATAGACTGACTTGTGATAGTACAGTGTCTGACCCCAAGAAATGAGCGTGAGACTGGCGAATGCTTGAGGTTGGAATTTGAGCGCAAAGTTGAAGTTCTAGCAAGTCATGTTAGCAGACGCCAAGCGTTTGTGGCTGCAGCCGTACCTGAACAATGGCGTATACACCAAATGGAACGCCACCTGCAATGGTTAGTACCCAGCCTGCATATTGGCAGCCAGTAAGCTTACATATCGACCAGAGAATGAGCATGGATCCTGGCAGACCCTCTGTGCTCTTTCGGCGCCAGTTGTGCCATATTCTGGGCTATGTTAGTTGGTGCTGAGTTGGTGGCATTGTGATGCTTACTGTGGGATAATCTGTTGGGTGTTAGTCGCAGTCATTTCCAAATGGTCCATTGGTTACATACCTGTACACACCAACAACTACAGTCAGGGAAGCCATGTTAGCAAAAGTTGATCAAAAAGTTGGATTGCATGGTGTGCATACACTAGCATCAAGTCAGCATAGTCGCAAGGTGGCAACAGCAGTTCACTCACCAGTTCCGATTGTCTATTTGCAGACCAGACAGGTTAGTATCATGACTCAAGCGTGGTGGAGCAGATGACCTACCCCGAGTACATTCGCAGCCTAGCGTTGGCATGTTAGTATATGGAGCACGCGACATGTAGGTAGTGCATGGTGACTTACGGGAGGAATGGAGACTTGAGGTCGGTCCATGGTGTCGTGTGAGAGAGATGATGTGACTAGATGGGGAGAGGCGAGGGAGGGAGGGAGTTGCAGAGGGCAGTATCGAAGAGAGAGAGAAGGAAGGGCCAGGTCAAGGCGGGTATATAATGGTCAAGTAGAGGCAAGAGTGGATGGGATTCGAGGAAGGAGCGAGGGTGGCGCTGGGGGGTGCTCGCGTCAGAATAAGCCGTTGGAAGAGGATTGGGGAAATGCAGTGATTCGATGTGGATAAGAAAGAGGAAGAGAAGGAAGCTTTACGACATGGCCAATGAAGGGCGGCAGTGGCAGGAGGTTTGTAGAGAAGAGAAGTCGGGCGGCGAGGCAGCATCCAGTAAGGGCGCGGTGGTACCTGCCCACAGCTGCCTGGATGCAGGCAAACATGTTGCGTTGATGACGAACATGTCCGAGGTTCCATTTTACTAGCTCTGCCGCCGCAGTCGCGTTGGAGGAGAGTCGAGCGATGGAGCCTGTGCTTTCGGTAGTAGAGGCATTTAGCAGGCCAGGAAGGCGGCTAGGGGACAATCAGCATTCGGGGAAGAGGGATCCCTGCTTCCGTCAGTGTCCATGGCGTTGAGGAAGCGTTGCAGCTCGGTAGGCGATGAGTGGCTGTGTGCTAGTGGGCAGGCGTGCAGCGTGCAGCGTGCAGGGGGGCGTGGGCTTAACCTCCTCCCCCACCGATCTGCAACCCGATTGGCGAGTCTAGACTTATCTGTGACTTGAGTGTTTTTTTTATCGGGCCTGGCAAACGGGGCCGTTCATCTCGATGCGGCGCTGGCTAAGGGTGTGCAATATGTACGCATACGTATGTGGGCATGCACGGAGATGGTCTGGGGAATGCCCTCTGTCGGCGGATGGGACCCTGCATCGGAGCGGCCTTTGGGGGAGCATGGAGACAGGCAGACGGGCTGGCCAGAGCCCAGGCAGGCCAATTGTCCGTACACGGGACGGAGCATGCAAAGTTAAAGCTGGCTGTCTTTGCACTTGGTGATATCGACCCGGTTCTCACGCGGCCACACTCGACAAAGACGACAGGTGGCGTTCCCCACCCGAGCTGCACATGCCCATCGCTCTCAGTTGGCGGCCGGGCAATCCGGTGAGGGCACTGAGCAGAGCAGCTGGCTGTGAAAAGTTTGAGCGTGGGGAGCTGACGCGCTGTGGCCAGTGTCGACAGACAGCATCGCCGCTGGACGGGTGGGCAGATGGTTCAGCTGGCGCTCCCGAACCACGCGGGTGGGACTCGTGCTGCATAACATGGCTGTGAGGGCCATTTTGGCCACACAAAGAGACGTCCAGTGGGCAGCGAGCGAGCGCCTAGATACATGTCGCTAGCAGGAGGCTCTGCTTTCCCCATCCGAGCGTATGCCTGTCTAGTCTTCGGTTCCTGGCAACGCTCCCCCCCCTCGCCCCCAGGCCCGCAGCAGCCGGACGTGCAGTACCAAAGGCCGAGGTTACGTACGTGTGCATAACTCAGCGCCGTCTGAATGGCTGCTGCACGCCCAGACGCACATGCACGTACGCACACACACAAACCCATATGTACATACACATCTATCGAAATGCAGATGCAGCACAAAAAACCAATACCCACCCGTCGTACACATGTATGTGCATGTACACAGTCTACTCACTTACCTAGCCATGTACTTATGTAGCCAAGTACAAGTCTGCTTCACTTATGCTGCCCATGCACATGATGCCGACAACGACTCGCTAGCCCTCCGCTGGACCACCACACGACCTCTTCGGTCCCAGATACAGATTGCACTCGACAAAAACAGTCGGCCTGCCAAGTGGCCGCATCCGTGTGTACCGTACCGTCGCCATCCAGATTAAATCCTCACAGGCGCGCACGGCGCGGCTACCCTGATAATTCACGCCTTCTTCCGCACCCGCATCACGTCGGCCAAGTGGGCCCGTTGGGAAAAGGTGGGGCCAGGGCATGCGTCATGCAACACCTCAGTGAACTAGACGCCCTGCCGATCTACGAACCTAGGTTCCTCGCTTCATCGCCCACGTACACACCATCTACCCTCCTACTGTGTCTCCTACATGTCCCATCACCCATCTTTTATGCACTCGCACCCCCTCCACTCGTCCAGACCGAGTCTTCTGCACCCTAGCCTGCCCACGCCTTGACGTGTATACACCTAGGCTGCACGCTGCCACGTCCACCCACGCTGCCGGCCTCAAAGTGGGAATGTGGAACAAAGGATTCGTTCCCATGGGGCCTTTTGCATAAGACACTGCTACCGTCTGCAAAGATTCGCCCACTCAGGTCTATTCGCAACTTTATTGCCAACCCGGAATCTACTCCTTCATCCCACTCTGCCAATCCCAGCACGGAGCAGCAACCTTCACCCTCCCCTTGGCCACCCTCTACCAACGTCGGCTTCCTCCCGAGAACAACCGCTCGGGTATAAGCCCTAAGCGACCAAACACGCCAATGCCGCAGAGCCACCAGATTGGCCTTCGCATATACGGGCCCATCTCAACGGCAGTAAGCCCTCTGCTAACCGCCCCATCTGCCGGCACATGTCGGTATGCCGACTCTGCAACCACACATACTACACATACATACACACACCCACGTAGCTGATAGTGCACTGGGCGTTGGTGTGTGCTGCACTGCAGTGTGAATGGTCCAACTTGCATGCAGAAACGCTCACCGATGCCGCGACTTCACAAATCGCTGGGCCCATATTCCTTTCTTTGCCATTGCAACATGGCATTATCCATTTCTTTTGCCCCAGACACACCTGCGTCTTGAGGCCCAAATCGCCTAATTGCCACCCATCGACGTGCTTCCTACTGATCATGGATACTCGGTTAATTCCATCGCGCTCTTGGAATAGCGCCAACCAGGGGCCCCTGTGCCGCCATCTATACCCATCTCCAATCCCCGATCGTCAAGTCCGGGACCGCCTCCAAGTCAACCTGGTCGTCGAGCAACATTGGGCATAAACTCCCCGCGAGTCCAAGTCAAGGCATCAAAGACATCGGTAGTTGGGGGGCCCTGCATTTGCTGACATGTCCAATCGCGTCGACCCATACGAGACCAGGTCCGAAGTTCAGTGATTGGCGATTTTTGCCCTTGTTATGAGAGTAGCGGTAGACGTACCAACGCTGTCAGCCAGGGCCTCAAGACCCATGTTTAGCTGCAACCTCAACGTCCGGCGTAATATCATGGCCGTCAGTCTCCATGCCAACTATCTGGTGAGGCAGGAATCAAATGTTGCACGGGAATCTGGAGAGTACACCGATAAATACAGTGAGACGGGTCGCTACGTACCGGCATCATGACGTGCAGTGCTTCACCGATGCGGAAACTCGCCTGTGTTGAGCAGCAAGCTGGGTAGCGTGGCGTATAGCTGACTGCAGCACACTGCCTTCGTGTCTTGCTCGTCATCGCGATGCCCCGGCAGCCTCTCGATCAGGTAGCAATGGTCTTGACGGACTACAATTTCAACCATGTACTCAGCCTACCATACCCCCTCTTCTTGGTCGCATGGTGGCTGAGAAAGCCCCTGTCGACATGTCAACAGTCGCCACATGGAGAAGCGGGGTGTAGTCTACATTTCCTCTCTATTACTATGGACATCTTGTGTCCAAGGTTCAAGCCGAGCCAGCGCAATCCAAGGTACATAGCCATTCTCCTCGGAGACCTTGGTGGCAACTGGGGTTTTTTTTTAAAAGCGCGCATAATGCGTTACTATGACGGACGCCTCTGCCTACGCCAGGCTGTGCAAAAGCAAAAAAAGTCATGTAAGCCTATGTATGGGTGTACAGATGGCACTGTGCTTGGCATGTATGTGTGTGCCGTCTTTCACAATCAAGGACCGAGGTCTCACAACGAACAACCCAGCTTAGTCCCCGACCCGTATATGCAGCTTTAGATGCCGAAGAATTTATCCGCGCGGTGCCGCTCGAGTACGCATACGGACAAACGTGATGCCAAAAAGATCCACATCTTAATTAACAAACGCATCCCGAAGCTTGCCGACGGCGTTACGGTAGTCGCCGTATACAAGGACGAGTGTACATACCAGTTTAGGACAAAGGTGGACAAAGGTGGTCTAGGGCGGTGAGGAGCTACTTGTTATGCCGTGAAAAACATGGCACCATTGTCCCTCGCGTGCACAAGGTAGAGAGTGATTGGGAAAACACCGAGTGTCCAGAACATGCAACTGCATTAGGCTCATGCACCGAGCTACAAATGCCTCTTATTCGCCAGACAATTCTCTTGTCCACATAACTTACATACAACACACGACTCTCCCCCCATCTATCTGCCTGCTGACATGACTGACTTGACTGCGACCATGCAACTATCCAAAAAGCAAAAGAGCTTGCATATGTACACGTATACACACACACATACCCAGCCACAGGACTCAATACACACACACACACACACACACATACACACACACACACACACACACACATACACACACACAAACGCAAAAAAAACCATCAGCGATCAGAGTGATATTAGAATGTGAATTACTACCTCCTTACGTGAAGGAACCAAAAGGCAGGGGGAATAAGTATCGAAAAAGGCTAAGTAAACATACGAGAAGCGGTGTCATGTTTGGGGACCGTGTAGCCGCAGACCACATCCAATGGCAAAAACACTGTCCGTTAAATAAATCAAAGGCCCCCAGACTAAAAGAAGAAGTGAAGTCCGACATTTCGACCCCGTCCTTGCTCACTTGTCGGCGCATCCCCAAGAAAATCCCTCCTCCATTTGCACAAAACGCCACCGATGCTGGGTCAGTCAAACCGTCTCTTGTGGTCTGTCTCTGGCTCTTCCTTTTTGCCTGTCCAAGCGCGCTGAACGCTGATGCCCAACATCAGTGCCAATGCAAAGGCGGAGCCGGGCGTAACGCATGCCACTCGGACACGCTTAAGCATCGTCCGCGTCGTCATGCGCCATACCACTCTGTTCCCGGTGCATGCGCGCCTCAATCTCCTTCAGTTGGCTCTCGCGTGCCAGGAGCTCCTGTCGCTTCTCGTTGATTTCGCGTTGTACCTTGACTTCAATCTCGCGCAGCTTCTCTTCTTCACGGCGCAGTTGCTCCTCCTTCAGACGCACTGACTGGCTGGCAAGGTCCTCGGGGTTCATCGACGAATCGTTCCTATATTCCGTTAGCATTCTACTTCACATCACGTCATGTCTCGAAAACTTACGAAGCAGCACCACCCTCAACACTCTTGCTAAGCTTCTCGGTACGGTAGTTCTCGTACAAGAAGTCGTGCGTGATTTCCTTGAGGTCAGCAAGATGGCTGTGCAGAAGCGCGCTTCGCACGGCAAGGAAGTCCGAGTGGCGGGGGTTGTCGACCTCTACGATACCCCAGGGGTACTGTCGTGCTCGCACCCGTCGACCGTTCACCTCGACAATGTCCTCGGATCCAACAATAGCAAAGGGCATCAAGCCACGGAGCTCGGCGTTCTCCTCAACCGTGTCTTCGTCGTCTTCTTCAACATCGTAAGGGAAGTTGTATACAGGGATGCGGTAGTGCTCAATGTCCTCCATGACGAGCTTTTTCGACTCGGCGAGCTCAGCGGGTGTGAGTGAGTCGGCCTTACCGATCACGGGAATGACGTTGCAGCGGGGGGAAAGGCGCTTCATGAGCTCAATGTCGAGTTCGCGCAGACTAGGGGTTCGTGTTAGTAGGACCCTGACTCATATCAGGAGCACATACCCATGGCCAGTAGGCGTGATGAAGTACAGCAGTACGTGTACACGGTCGTCACGGAAGCGTGGGTTACGCTTGATACGCGACTCTTCGGCAAGAATGCCATCGTACTGTCGCTCAAGGTATCCGACGATCTCTGAGAAACTGCATACAGGTAAGTCGGTGTCGTCATGGTTGCTGCAAGGTCCTTACCTGGCCTCGTTGTCAATCTGGTCTCCAAATCCGGGCGTGTCGACGATTGTGAGCGAGATGCGGGTACCTTCCTCATCGAGTTCTGGCCATTCTTAGTAGCTGCCTCATGGCGTGATGGTCGTGTCCACCGCCAATAAACAAACTTACCGACAGTGATGGGCTTGATCTTGACGCCCTCCTCAACGTGGGCAGTTGTAGGGTCATCCACCTCCTTGTGTCCAAGCACCTGCTTGCCGCAAAGCGTGTTGACGAAGGTTGTCCGGCCAGTACCTGAGGCACCGCAAACCATCAGGCAGAACTGGATTCCCTTCTTGACATTCTTCTTTCTGCGCGTCTTGTTAAGCGCCTGATGCATTGTTAGTGACTGGAATTGATGGCAGGGTCATATGTAGAGGGCAGGGTAGCGGCGTGTGCCCGATGGGCGCAGACGGGGTGTCGTGGGGAGGAGCGGCGTACCGAAGACATGATGGGCTGTGAAGGGTTGATGTGGTGTGTCTTGGATGGAGTCGTGTGCACACAATGGAGACTGCCGGAAGAGGGCGTGGGATTGCGGGTGAGAGAGTACGGAGAGACAGAAGATGAAGACTGTCTGTTGTGTTGGAGCGGTGTCGTCGTGGAAATTTGGGGACATTGGCAGCTACTCCCTGCGCGATGCAAAGGGGCTCGCTAGCGGGAAACACCCTGGTCGGTGTCTCCTTCTTGGCGCAACCACCTGGCCCGACTACTTTGGGAACGATGTGCAACACGAGAAGGCCATCACTTGTCGTGTATGCTGAAAAATGCTGAGAAACGGCCATATTGGGTGAGAAATAGTACTGCTATTTTCATACTTGTCTCAACACCCATCTCTCACTTTCGTTGTGCACTTTGCCGGTTGCCGATAAGGATGCCCCATCGGCCTCGACGCGTGGTGATTCCCGACATTTAACGAACATGTTGTGTACTTGCTTTTGACGGGGACCCGCAAGTCATGGCACGCTACAATGGCGTGATGAAACAATTCCATGATATCTGATATGTGAATTCTTTGGCTCTCCTAGCCGTACAGCAGTATGTATTGGGCCCGAAGAGCATTCCGTACACAGGTCCTGCGTCCCACCAGTCACGCTTGCCAGAACCGGCTAGCTCCCGCATTACGGGGAAAGCCAGGCTTATTAGGTGGATGCAGATGACAAGGTGAGCTGTGACCTTGGAGCCCTGGACCCTCGATGTCGTCGTCGCCTACCCACTCTACGCTGTTCATACGTGTGCCGCCTCAGTCGCTGCTGGCAACAATATGGCCTAGCATGCCACCGAGCTCCTCGCACTTGCAGTCCCTGCGCTGATCAAAACATCGACTCCCGCATCCAAGAAGACGCCGCCCGCCCACCCCACCTTGTGTTTGAAACAACGCATAGCCGAATTACTCTATACCGACGACGGACCATGAATACCAGACCTATCCTCGACTCGGACACAGGCCCGTTCGTTCTTTCGGCCTCGTTTAACGCTGACTGCTCTCACTTCTCAGTCGCTCTGGAGACGGGATTCCGCGGTATGACGACGCCCTCGTCCAAGTTTGCCAATACCTACTGACGGTTGCAGTCTTCTCGTCAACAACATGTGAGGAAAGGATAGCCAGAGGTACTTTCGACGCGCTTGCACATATGTTCATGTGCTGACATTCCCGCAGAGGTTGGTGGCGGCATCGGCTGCGCAGAGATGCTCGGCAACAAGAGCTACATTGCCCTGGTCGGAGGAGGGAAGCAACCCAAGTATCCCCAGAACAAGGTGCGTCCCGAGGACTCCGACTGGATTTGGGTCGACAAAACTGACATATTCTACGAGGTTCAAATCTGGAACGACAAAACCGAGCGTTTTACCACGTCGGTCGAGTTCAAGACACCCATTCAGCGTGTGCGCCTATCGCAGACGCACATGGTTGTTGCGCTGCTGAATTCGGTGTGCATATATAAGATGAAAGTACCTCCAGTCAAAACGGCTGAGTATGAAACGGTCAACAATCCGTTTGGGCTGTTGGAGCTAGGGTCGAATATTGTCGCGTTCCCCGGTAGAGCCGCTGGACAAGTCAAGATATACGATCTGAACACGGGCAACGTCAGCATCATCCCCGCCCACGAAAGTCCACTACGCGCGATCGGCATAAGCAGAAGTTGCGATCTCATAGCAACTGCCAGTGAGCAGGGCACCATCATTCGTCTCTGGTCATTCCCATCCTGCACCAAACTAGCGGAGCTTCGCCGCGGCGTCGATCCTGCTGCCGTGTTTTCTCTTGCATTCTCTCCGGACGGCTCGACGCTCGCTGTGACCTCGGACAAATCTACACTGCACATCTACGATCTCAAAACAGCAACTGCTGCGGCGCAAGCCGATCCAGCGCAGCACAAGTACGGCATCCTGTCCAAGATTCCGCTTCTACCCCGGCAATTCTCCGACACATATCCCACTGCCACGGCCAAGTTTGAAATGGGAGATGAGCCTACCTCTTGGGGCCCGCACGGCAAATCTGCTACCTTGAGTGCGGGCATTCCCGGCGTACCCGGCGGCAGGCCTACGAAAGGATTGATTGGTTGGCTGGATGACCAGACGGTACTAGTTCTTGGCGCTGGGCAAGACGCTCGGTGGGAGCGCTTTGTCATGGGAGTTGACGACAAAGGGAAGAAATGTCTTGTTGCGAATGGCTGGAGACACTACATCGACTAGGAGAAGACGTTGTTGCAGGAGGTTTTGGAACGCTCATCGGGCAACCAGAGGCGGAAACCGGAGATTGAACCGGACGATGATTGGGATATTATGACGCTTACTTGATTTTTCACTGTTGTAATGATTGGTAGAATGAACTTAGTGATTCAGGGAAGGCGTTGGTAGCATCAACGGGACATTGATACCCATTTTTAGATTTCATACAATACATGCTTATCACCAGATGCCAGATGAATATCGATTTGAAGCTTGGATATGGCATTGACATGACACAAAAATCAAAGAGTATATCGTTGACGGCAAAGTTGTATGTTTCTTAAAACGACCAAGTCGTTTTTAAAGAGTTTAGAAGAGGAAACGAAGAACAATATATGTTTTCTTTTCAGAAACTTTTTTTTTTTTTAAATATTCAAGCTTGTGATTAGGAATAGTCTTTTGTCATTACAATTCCCGGGCACTTTGACAGTTGACCCCGCCTCATCTATTCCAATTTCCAAATGGGTATAAATATGTAAGTAAAAAAAAAGCGAAAAAAACCCCCCGAAATCGTATATACAAGTCCCTCCATGTCAAACCATCAATTTAACATCCAAACCGAGCCTCCAATCAACATGACGGAAACCAAGATGGTGATAATGGCCGCACCCGCCTTATCCGCGG